CCCAGCTAATTTTTTTTTTTTTTGTATTTTTAGTAGAGATGGGGTTTCACCATGTTGACCAGGATGGTCTCGATCTCTTGACCTCGTGATCCACCCACCTCGGCCTCCCAAAGTGCTAGGATTACAGGCTTGAGCCACCGCGCCCGGCCGAGTTTAAATCTTTATGAGGAAAATATTTAGAACTGAGATATTTCACTGTATAACAATGTAATCATGGATAATAGTTGATGAATAAGCACAAGTAACTGAACTATCTCAAATAGTATAAATACATTTCCTACGTTTTAATTTAAGTCAAAAGTTGCCAATTCTCAAATACAAAACAGTAGTATTTTGGAGAAAAAAATGATTAAATAAATATTATCTCTAGGAAAAGGTGCCTGTGACAGTGAGGAGGGGCTTTTGCTTTTATATTTATTTCTGAACTATTTAATTTTTTTCAGTGAGAATGTGTTTTTTTTTCATTACTTGTATAGTTTCTTTAAAGTTTTCAATGAAGCAGTTCTATATTCCCATTACATAGGACTTAGGAAATAAAGAAGAAAAATCTCTTCTAGTTCTGTCATGAATTCCCCCGTGGCCCATGTGTAATACTCATTATGGTCAAAGTATTTTGGACTTTTTTCTTGCAATTTAAATAAATGTTAACTATTCTTTGTATAATTTCAGGAAATTAAGTGAGATTGGCAGATTAAATGAAATGGATATTCATTAACTAGTGCTTTTTCCTAATGTCCATTCAACAATTTGATGGGACCAGATCCACAGCCCACAGGGTCAGTGAGAGTAGATAGGGTGTCATCCCTGCAACTTAAGAAAATCAGATTCGAAACAGACACCACAACATTTTTATAATGTAAAGAGTACTGAGCAGGTTCCAGATTCTTATGACGTCATTTACTCCACACACAAGGCATGATTTAAAAATCGCTTGGGCTTAAATTTCGCGGTTTGCATGTGTGTTCCCAGCATGGACAGAAGAAGCTACTTCCTACCTGCTTGTGCATTCACATGTACACATGCCTGCACATCTGTTTTACTGGTTAAGTGGGTATTTGCTTAATTCTAAAAGACGAGCCATGACATAATTAAGTGCCCCCATCTGAGGTATGACTGCAGTTGAAGCTACCACTTCTGGGCTCTGCTAATGGCCTTTCTCCCTCTGGCCTGCTCTCAGATGTCTCAGGGGCTCTGTCTATAAATAATTAATGGTGATTGTTAATGCGTGTTGGGAAGTGAAACTGCCTTACTCACACGTATGACCGCTTACACGCCAAGCCTTTTCCTGATTCCTCTTTTCAAAAGCACACAGCCAAGACACAGTAATCTCCATTCAGACACAGCAGTTCTGTGTTGGCATCTCAGGAATGATACAGATGGTGTGTGATGGTCTTCATTTACTTGGATTTTCAGAATGGTTGTCTCTGAAATGGAGCAAGTCATGGCTCAGCGTGGGTTGTAAAGACCCTGTTCTGGTATTAGGGCCTTCGCTCCATAAGCAGCTTGCCTTTGCCTTTCTACAGAGCAGGATTTTTCAGCTTTGGTGGCATGAGCTTATACTGTGTGTCATATGGCAAGCCGTGCATTTAGAGTATAGACATTAGGACTCACCTTTTTGCCCAACATCTTGTTAGGAAAAATTTCAAACATACGCTAAAGACGAAAGAATTGAGGCTTGTATATTCATATACCTACCACTCAGATAGCACCCTTAACACCTTCCAAAATTTCTCTCTTACCTTTCTGTCCACCTATCCACTCATCTTTAATGCATTTCAAAGCATATTACAAACAACTATACACTACACTCTTAAATACTGTAGCATGCATAGTATGGACTACGGTTCAATATTGTTGGTAGTTTTTTGGGTAAAAAATATATAAAAAGTAAAATATACATATATGGACTGCTTGATAAGTTTTGACAAATACAGCAACTGTGTAATGAAAACTCCAGTGAGATATAGAACCATCAAACTCATGTCCTTATACCCCATCCCCGGTAAACCTCAGCGTCTACCCTCTGCCCACGATTCGCTCTTCTGATTTTTTTTCACTATAGCTTAGAACAGCATATAAATGGAATCATTTTTGTGCAAGGTTTCTTTCACTCAGCATTATTTTTTTGAGATTGCTATCAGTCTTTTTGTAGATTGATCAGTCCTTCCTTTTTGTTGAGTAGTTATTGTATGGCCGTTTGCTTATTCATTTTCCTGTGGATGGACACCTGGGGTGTTTACAGTTTGGAAATATCATGAATGAGGCTGCTATGAACGTTCTTGGGTACATTTTTTGACATACTTCTCTTGGGTAGCTAAGAATGGAATTGCTGGGTCATAGGGTAGGTATACATTTAGTTTTATAAGAAACCACCAGACCTGTTTCCAAGTGGTTGGGCCATTTTGCACTTTAACCAACAAGGTACGAACATTCTGGTTGCTCCATTTCCTCACCAAGTTATGTTGGTCTTACAATTTTAGCCATTCTGGTGAGAGCATAGTGGTGTCTCATTGTGATTTTAATTTGAATTTCCCTGAGCACTAAAACATTGAGCTTTTTGATTATTTTTTTTGTTGTTGTTCAAATCTTTGCCCTCTTCCTTCCTACCTGCCTGCCTTCTTTCTTTCTCTTTCTCTTTCTTGTTCCTCTCTCTCTCTCTCTCTCTCTCTCTCTCTCTCTCTCTCTCTTCTTTTGTTTTTATTGAGACAGGCTCTCGCGCAGTCACCCAGGCTACTGGAGTGCAATGGTGCAATCACAGCTCACTGCAGCCTTCACCTCCTGGGCTCAAGCCATCCTCCCACCTCTCAGCCTCCTGAGTGGCTGGGACTACAGGTGTGCACCACCATGCCTGGCTAATTTTTAATTTTGTTTATAGAGACAAGGTCTACATGTTGCCCAGGCTGATCTCAAACTCCTAGGCTCAATGGATCCACCCACCTTGGCCTCTCAGGGAGGGTGAGAGGCCGCCCTCCTTTACCTCGGCTTCTTCTGCACCCGGTGCATGCTCGGCCTGTCACGCCACTCAGTAAATGAACGGTGCGTTTATTCAGTGGCCCGGGTGCTGCATCGTGGCCTCTCCTCCCGAATGGCAGCAGGTGCTCAGACGACCTGGAGCAGCCCAGTGCTCCGGTGAAGCAGCGCGACCTGAGACCGGTGTTTCCGGGAATTGTCCCGGGTGGTTACGCAGCGCGTTTTGTGCAAGGGCAGTTCTGGAGTGAGGGCTGCCCGTTCTAAGTCCCACGCCCTTCGTGGGGTTTTCTAGGCAGGGAGGGAAGACGGCTAGATCGCCACACCCCCAGGAGTCGGCCTGTCTGTCTCCCATCACTAGATACTCTGTCCCGCTGCGGGCACAGCAGGCAGCAGTGCAGTTCGGCTGGGACCTCCAGCGCTCTCGCCAAAGCCCCCGCTCCTCCGCTGCGGTCGGCGAGGTCGGCCTGGCAGCTCCCCCGCACACAGGCAGCTGTCCCCGTGCCCTGGAAGGGCTCCAGGTGGCAGTCTCTCTGCAGGAGCCGCCCGACGCCTTCGCAGACAGCCCCCTTCGCACCAGCCCTGGGAAGGCTCTGAGGCGGGCAGGGCGGCAGGTGCTTGGTGCGGGGGCATTGCTCGGCCATCCCTGTCTCTTCCTGCAGCCCCCGCGATCGGGCTGTGGACCGCGCGTGCCTCTGCTGTGTTCTACCATGATTCCCTAGAGCACGCCGGCAGTGACGGTGACGCCCCGTGTGTGCTTCCTCCCACGCAGGTGCCGGGGACATGGGCAGCAAACTGTCCACGCCAGGCGGTGACCCTGCAGCGCAGTGCCCCAGCACTGAAGGCATTCACGCAGCGTACAGGCGGGGAGACCGCGGCGGCGCCCAGGACCTGCTCAGGGAGGCCTGCGACCAGTGCACGTCCCAGCAGGAAAAGGTAGGAGGGGCGCCTGTCCCGGCGGCCGACAGGGCAGTCCTGGGCTGGACCAAGGTGACCGCTCACATGATTTTCTCGTTATTGTCGTAGCTGTAACAAGCATTTTTATTGGGTTCTGGAAATACTTCCTTTTGCATATAAACTTGTGAGCGCCTTTCCTTTCTAGGTGACTTCTCAGTTTTACTTCACCTAAGCAGGCCCCTGCCACCTTTTCCTGGGAGGCCTTTGAGGGACAGTGGTGGAGTCACTTAAATGTAAAGAACAAAATGCCACCCAAAGGCTTAACCTACAGCATTCTTTTAGCCTTTTCATCATTAGAAAAAGTAGCACATGCTGGAAAAATAAAACTTAGAAAATATACAAAAGGAAGAAAAATGGACAAAAAAGTTACCAAATTCCTAATATACCCCAAAACCCACTTAACCATTTTACTGTATTTTCTTTCAGCCTGCTGATCTGAGCATACATCGTTGCTGTTGTTTCCAATATAGATGCAGCCAGATTGTATATATGATCATGCAGCTGCTGCTTGTACTTTTGTAATATTACTTTAAGAATTTTCCAGATGATTAAGCATTGCTTATAGGTGTCTCCTTCAGTGGCTACATGTCACTCTGTTTAGAGGGACTGCATTTACCTGGCTGTTCATTTTGGTTGGATATCTGGATTGCTTATCATTTCTTACTAATGTGAATAATGTGCTATTGAATGTTTTTGCTTAATTCTTTTCTTATTGTGAGGTTATTTTCCTAGCACAGATCTGCAGGAATTGAGAATGTGAAGTGTGAGGACTTTTAAAGTTTTGGAACACATGTCAAGCTGTTTTCCAAAAAGCTTCTACAGAAGCCTCCCAGCAACAATTGGAGTGGGTCATTACCACATTTTTTGCCCTTGTGGGGGATTCTTATTGGCTGTTATCATGGAAATACCTTAAGGATGTTTACTTTGATTAGGACAGGTTTAACATGTCTCCATTTAATTGATAGCTAGAATTCATTCAATTCCTAAAACTCCAACCTGTTCTCAGATGTGTAAGAGATTGCAGGGAGGGGCAGTGCAGCATCCTTGGGAATTGTTAAGCAAAAGGAAGGCATTTGAGATCCCTCCGATTAGGAATTCATAGCGGATATGGCAAAGGAGCATCCTTCTGCACAGGGAATGCTGTGCTGTGCACACAAGCAGGTAGAGTGTGGGTTCCTTGGGTGGATGCCAGTGGTCTCCAGCAGGGGGAAGCTGTGCAGTAAACACAGCCTGGCATCCCTGCCAAGTGGCCAAGCAGCCAGAGATAGCTCATTTCAGAGCTGGGCAGATTCATGGATGTAGCAGCAGGAGACGCTGATGGGGGAAGACAATCATGGAGGGACCCGAGAGTCCAGTGGGGTGAGACTTCATCTGAGGGTAGAACAGCTGTTAAAAGGGAGTGGCATGATAATTTGGAAAAGGGCACTCTGGCCAATATTTGAATAAATAAAAACAGAGTCCTGGGTGTGGGTCACTTCTCTGTGGCATCATGAACAGTGGCAATGCAAAATCAAGAAGGTTCCTGGAAGGCTGCCTGTTCCCTGAATACAGGACTGATGGAACCCCAGCTGACGGGACTTTAAGCAGACAGTGAGGAAAAGGATGGACACATCTGTGTTTTCATAAAAATGTATAACTGTAGTTCCAAAACACACCATAAATCAGCGTCAAGGATTGATGCAAACAGAGAAGGTATATGGCTAATATCCTTCACTGACAGAGAGCTGGTATAAGTCAATATGAAATAATACCATAATTTTCAAAAGGACAACAGGACATGGAAAGAAACAGCAAGATGAAGGTAAAGAAAATAGAAGGCATAAAGTTGTAAAAAAAAAAAAATTTGAAAGTTTTGAAATAGAAAGCAAAGCAGAAAGAAGTAGAAATGACTACCACATCAAAAATTGGTGCTTTGAAGAGATCAATAAAATGGAAAATCTCTGGTGAGAGTAAAAGGTAAAAAAGAAATAGATGAATCAGGAATATAAAAGAGAACTTCACTACAGTTTCCACAAGCATGAAAAAGATAAGAGAATGTATTATGAACAAGTTTATGTTAACACACTTGAAAATTTAGATGAAATGAACAAGTAAGAAAAATTTAACTTTAAAAAGAGACAGAAAGCATAAGTAGACTTTCAGCCATGAAGACATGGCTTACAATCATGTAAAGCCTTCTGACAAAACAAATTCTAGGTCTACGTGGCTTCACCGGTGTGTTCTGCCAAATAATATAATCACTTGTCCAGAAAATAGAAAAAGAGTGTGCACTCCCCTGTTTCTTTGATGAGGCTAACACAACCTCAGTACCAATGGTGGATGGGAACAGTATCTGGAATGAAAATGACTAAGAATATGAAAAGGCAAATAGATGCACACGCACCTGAAATAAATTCAGATAGATGGTACACATATGTAAAGTTATTCAACTTTGTTAATGCTTATAGAAGGGCAAGTAAAACAAAAAGGAAATAGCATTTTTAAGCTTGTCAGATTGGCCCCTTAAAGTTTGATAAAAATCAGAAGGAAAGCTTTGGAAACTTATACACCTTTATTCAATGCTACTAGGAATATACATGCGTGCAGCCTCTTTGGAAGGCAATCTGAAAATGTTTGTCTAATTTTAAAATTTCATCATCTTTGACACAGCACAACTACTGCTAGGAACTTAACAGATGTACTTGTAAAAAAATTGCCAAGTTTTATGTGTAAGGCTGTTCATTGAAGTTGTGTTTACAATAGCACAACCTTGCAAACCACCTAACTGTTCTATCCACGGGAGAAGACTCCTACAGAAATCTCAGTCTGTCCAGGTCCTAGAATACCACACAGCACTCCAAAAGGGCAAAATAATCTCTAGCCACTGTTTTCAAAAGAACTCCAGTGTATGAAGAAGTTAGCAATCCAGAAACACAAACTGGCACAGATAAGAAAAACAAAATCCAAGGAAAGCCTGCTCTCTCTACAAAGCACCAGGAAAGCCACAGCAAAGCCAGAAAGGAAACTTACTGTCAGTCACCAATCCTTTTCAGCCAAACACCGCAGAAATATACCTGCAGCCCTGCCCAACCCCTTACCAGCAAAGGCCAGGTGCAGAGCTTAGACTTCCACCCTTCCCAGGCTGTAACAGGCACCCCAATCATCCCCACCCCAGGGCATCAGAGACTGCTTTGGGGAGCTGGGGTGCTGATCCCCACCAGGTGGTGACAACAGCCCCTGCTCACCATCAGTGGACAACAAGCAGGAAGCCTGGACTTCTGTCTCCATCCAGCCTGGCAGTCATGAGACACGAGTTCCTCGTCCAACTTGGGTGGAATTGAAGCAGGCCTAGAAGAAAACCTGAAGTCCCAACACTGCCCAGCAATAACAAGGAGCCCCTGCTTACTGGGAGTCAACCGATTCTAAGTACAGCCCCCAGATTTCCATACCACCAGGCAGCATTAAAGGGACACTCCTGTTTACCCACCAGAGTGGCGTCAGAGGAGGCCTGCCAAAACACAAGATTTAAGTAAGATCCGGAGTCTCAAAACATAATGCCCCAAATATCCAGGCCATGATAAAAAATGACTCATAATTACCAAGAACCAGAAAGATCGCAAACTCACTGAGACAAGACCACCAAGAGATGCCAACACCAGGATGACTCCGATGTTAGAACTATCTCACAAGGACTTTAAGGCAGTCGCCATAAAAATGTTTCTGTGAGCAATGGTGAATACACTTGAATCAAGTGGAAAAATAGTCTCAGCAAAGAAATAAAAGACATGAGGAGAGCCAAATGAAAATTTTAGTACTTAAAAGTACAATACCTGAAATTAAAGAGAAAAAAAAAAAACCTCATTGAACGAGCTCAGCTGTAGAGTGGAGCGGAGAGGACAGGGGAAACATTCAGGGGGAAACAGAACAGCAGAAATTATTCACTCTGGAACAAATGCCAAATCAGAAGAAAACAGACAAAAAAAAGGAAAAAAGAGCAGCGCCTCATGGGCATGTGAGGAGTTTAACAAAAGATGTAACATTCATGTCATCAGAGCCCCAGGAGAGTAGACAGAAGGCAGGACTGAGGAGAACTCAAACAATGGCTGAAAACTTCTCTAACTGGCAGAAGACATCAATGTTCACATTCAAGAAGTTGAATGAACTACAAACAGGATACACCCAATGAAATCCATTCCAAGCACATCATAGTCAAACTTATTAAAACTAAAGACAAAACAAAATAAAGCCTGAAAGAAGTCAAAGGGAAACGTTCCCTTTAGGGTAGAAAGAATCCAAAACACAAACATCACCAACGTCAGAAAGGAAATACGGAATATCAAACGGATCCTGCAGATATCAGAAAGATAATAAGGGGACATTATGAACAGCTGTAAACACATAAATTGAACAACTTAGATGAAATGGATGAATCCTTGGAAAGTAGAAACTACCACATCTTAATAGGAAACACATAATTGGAATAGCCCTTTAACAATTAAGAAAATTCAATTCATAATTTTAAACCTCCCCAAAAAATAAATTAACAGATCCAGATGGCTTCACTGGATAATTCTACCAAATATTTAAAGAATTAATACCAATTCTACATCATCTCTTCTAAAAAATAGAAGAAGGAATATTTTTAACACTTTTATGAATTCTGTATTACCCTGACACCAAAACCAAAAACAGCGTAAAAAAAAACAAAAAAGTACAGACCAGTGCCCATTATGAACGTAGCTGCAAAAATTCTTAACAAAATATTAGCGAGTGAAATTCTGCTCTATGTAAAAGGAATTATAAACCATGATCAAGTGGAGTTTATTGCAGAGATGCAAAGTTGGTTCAGCATTCAATCATTGAGCAATGTAATCCTCCTTATTAATAGACTAAAAAAGAAAAGTTACCTTATATCTAATGATACAGAAAAAAAATTTGACAGAATTCAGTACCATGTTTTCAAAAAACTCTGAAAATTAAGAATAGGAGGGAACTTCCTCATAGGCTAGAGAACATTGACAAAAACCTATAACTAACATTATTCTTGATGTTGAAGACTGTTTTCCCCTAAGATCAGGAACAAAGCAAGAATGTCCACTCTCAATGCAATACTGCAAGTTCTATTCAAGAGCAACTATAAAATCATAGTTTTTAAAATAATACTATTCAATATATTTAACAGATTGCTGGAAATTCTAGCCAATACAAGAAGGCAAAGAAATAAAAGGCACACAGATATGAAAAAAATAAATTGCACTGTCTCTATTGGTAGATCACATGACAATCTATACAGAAAATCCATAAAAGAAATGATTTATGAAAGAAAAATTGGTAAACTGGACCTCACCAAGATTAAAAAGTTTTGCTCTGAGAAATACCTAAGACAGTGATTCTTAAAAAAAAAAAAAAAAAAAAAAAAGCCACAGACTGAGAGAAATATTTAGAAACCACTTATCTGACAAAGGAGTTATAGCTAGAATATGTAAAGAACTCTCAAAACTCAACATTAAAAAGTAAACAATCCAAATAGAAAATTTATGAGATACATGAAGAAACATTTTGCTGAGGAAGATACATAGATGGCAAATAAGCACATGAAAAGATGTTCAACCTCATTAGCCATTATGGAAATGAAAATTAAACCAATGATAAGATGTCACTAACCACCTTTATGAACAGCAAAAATAAAAAGTAATGACAATACCAAATTTGAATTGGGTTGCAGAGAAGTTTACCAGCAAGAATGTAACATGGTACAATCACACTGGAAAATAGTTTGTCAGTTTATTTTAAAAACTAAAAATACACTTGTGAACCAGCAGTTGAACTCCATTTAATCTAGAGAGAGGAAATTTACATGCACACAAAAGCTTGCTCATGACTTTTCATACCAACTTTATTTGCAATGGCCCAAAACTGGATACAACCAAAGATCTCAGAAAGTGAATACTTAAACATACATGGAGTACTACTCAGCTCTTCAAAGGAAGTCTACTGAAACTTTCAACAAGTCAGATGGATCTCAGGACATTATGCTCAGAAGGAAAAAAAAGAAAAAGCCAATCTCAAAAGACCGTAGTCTCTATGATTCCATTTATATAACATCCTCAAAATGACAGAATTATAGAGATGAAAGAGATTAGTTCTTGTCAAGGGTGAGAGATGGGGAAGAGGATGAGTGAGACCACCATCGGTGCATGGCATGAGGGAGACCTTTGTGGTCCTGGAACAGGTCTGTCTTGATTGTGGTGGTGGCTACTCAGATCTACATGTGTGACAAAATGTCAGAACTAGGCCGGGCGCGGTGGCTCAAGCCTGTAATCCCAGCACTTTGGGAGGCCGAGGCGGGTGGATCACGAGGTCAAGAGATCGAGACCATCCTGGTCAACACGGTGAAACCCCGTTTCTACTAAAAATACAAAAAATTAGCTGGGCATGGTGGCGCGTGCCTGTAATCCCAGCTACTCAGGAGGCTGAGGCAGGAGAATTGCCTGAACCCAGGAGGCGGAGGTTGCGGTGAGCCGAGATCGCGGCCATTGCACTCCAGCCTGGGTAACAAGAGTGAAACTCCGTCTCAAAAAAAAAAAAAAAAAAAAAAATGTCAGAACTATATACACATATGGTAGCAATGTCAAGTTACTGACTTTGATATCTTGCTACAATTATGTAAGATGTTACCATGGGGAAACTGGATGAAGAATACTTGAGTCCTCTCAGTACTATCTTTGTAACTTCCTGTGAATCTGATTATTTCAAAGCAAAAAGTTAAAAAATTATAAGTGAAGTATAATTCCACTTTTACAGCACTTAAAAACAGGCAATAGTTAATCTATGATGTTAGAATTCAGGAGACTGGCTCCTCACCAGAGGGCAGTGACTAGCAGGAGGAAAGGGCGTTTCTGGGCACTGACAACGTCCTGGTCTTTGGAACGAGATCGGTTATGTGGATGTGTTCAAATGCCTTTCATGAAACTGAACACTTAAAATATTTGTACTTTTCTGCAGGTGTGTTATAGGGCTGATTAAAAGGGCAATTTAATGAATTAAGTGAAAAAAGCATTTGGTTTTATATGAGATTTCCTGTGAGCATTATGAATAAACATGTTCTGGAAGGCATTCTTTGCAGAGGGCGATTGGGAGATAAAGCCATAGAGGGAAGCCTACTTCTTGTTTTATACTTTTCTATGCTGTTAGAATTTTTAAAAATACACACTGTGAAGCCTCCAGCTAAAAAGCCAGCTTTGACCTTTCCCACTGTCTGGGTCCCTCTTGGCCATGGGCTGGCTCCTATGACATCACTTACCACCTCTAAAGGATGGGGCTTTTAAGCCTCTAACCGACCGAGTCTAGACAGCTGTTAGTTGCGTGCAGTGAAGCATTTAATCAATCACTGCAGCTTCTCTCCATAATGCAAATGCTTTCCTGGAATGATAGGACCACTGAACCACACCCTGGGCAGAGTGGCAGGTAAGGGGGGTTTTCTTTTCTGGTCATATTGAATGTATGAGTCTCCTGTCCCTCACCTGATCCCAGTCCCTTAGACCGCTCCTCTCCTCACCTGTCAGACATACCTTCCACCACCAGCCCATTCACTCTACTTACAGAACCTGAGCCTTCCTCGAAGTCCCTTGTTTCCAGGAAGTCTTGGATGGAACAGACACTCTTGGGCTTTGGAGCTAGACACAGCCAAGTTCAAACACTGAGAGGTTCGGCCGATGATAAACTCCCTAACCATGGTCAAGCTTTTATGTCCTCATCCTTAACACAGAAGTACAGACACATTCCTGGCATGAATGTTAGGAGGATTGAATGTGGCCATGTAAATAGAGTACTCAGTCCAGCATCTGGCACATGGTAAGAGCTTTGATAAATATCCATTCCCTTTCCTGGGGGCTCCATGTACCCATTCCTGCCCAACTCACCTAAAATGATTTCCAAACACACTTGTGTTATAAACTATTCAGCAACTAAAATGTGCTCACTGGGGGCTGTCTATTCATATTCCCACCTCAAACTTAATTGTAAATCTGTGGAGGCCAGAAATGGCCCCTGGCATCCTCGGTGCCCAGTCCCACCTCTCACACACAGTAGATCATCAGTAAGTGCTGATGGGGGCACTGGCCATCCCATTCCAATAGGGGCTTCCCATCTACCTGCTTGAACCCACTGATGTTCAAGCCCATAGGAGGCAGCCAGGTTCCAAAGGATTTGACATTTCAAAAATGCAATCAAACACTTGACATGCCAATCTAGCAGCCATCGGAGTATCTTTTTCTTAGACCTGGAGAGCTCGTGATAAGTCAAGGCTGCTTTTACACAGGTCTGTGATAGCCACTTACTAGCTGTGTGGTCCTGGGCAAGCTCTGAAACCTCTCTGAACCTCACATCCTGTCCATGTATTAATACACGGCCCGCCTCACAGAACCTTTACACACCAGGAGGACTGCAGTGAGTAGGAAGTCAGGCTTGGGTCCAGTTTCCACCATATCCTTTCCTTCCTCTGGGCCACCAAGTCAAGAGTCCCTCTGCATGCTGCTGGAAGATCTTTGTCCCTGGATTCAGATCTGTGAAGTCCCCTGGTCTGTCACATTCCATTTAGTAATAACTTACAGGATGGTTCCTCAGAGGGCCTGATTGCCTTCCCTCTTCCCAGGGCTGACTCAACAGGTACCAAGTGGTTACTGAGCTCTGGCTCTGTGCTAGACGGGGATATGCACACCCTCCCCATCCTCATGAAGCAGGTAGTCGAGAGCAGCGAATGTGAGCCCCATGTATCATATCATATTTCCTGGTAGCCACATTAAAGTAGTAAACAAGTTCACACCTATAATCACAGTTACTCTGGTGGGAGGATCACTTGAGCCCAGAAGTTCAAGACCAGCCCTGGCAACATAGCAAGATCTGGTCTCTACAAAGAAAACAATAAAATTAGCTAGCATGGTGGCGTGTGCCTGCAGTCCCAGCTACAGCTACTCAGGAGGCTAAGGCAGGGGGATCACTTGAGCCTGGGAGGTCAAGGCTGCGGTGAGCTCAGATTGCACCACTGCACTCTAGCCTGGGTAACGGAGAGAGACCCTGCCTCAAAAAAAAAGGTGGGGGGAGCAAACAGAAAGAAACAAAATGCTAATATTTAACATAAATATATTAAAATCATTGTTTCATCATGTAACCAACATAAAATTACCGATGAGCTAGCATACCCTTTCTGTGCTTGGTCTTTGAATTCATGTGTGGCTTTACACTCTCCCCCTCTCACTTTGAGAAGCCACACTTGGCGGGTGCTGCCATTCTGGGCAACACAACGCCAGTTCTGCCCTGGGACCTGGTGAAGCATCACTGAGCCAGTCTCACTGGAGCCCTGTTGTGTTTTGACCAGAGCCAGCTTCTGAGCATCCCAGCCGCCTATGGGGACCTGGAGATGGTCCGCTATCTACTCACCGAAAGACTGGTGGAGCTGCCGACAGAACCCACAGATGACAACCCAGCCGTGGTGGCAGCGTATTATGGGCACATGGCAGTTGTGCAGGAATTGCTTGAGTCCTTACCAGGTAAATCACAAGGCGAGTTCTTAACCATGTCTCAGGGTACCCTCTTCTTAGGCGTTACCCCAAAATGTTTATTTCTTCATGCTTTCACCAATAATGAGATCAAGAAATCCAGGGCAGGCCACCGACATCCAAACAAAGTGAAGCTTCCTGCCAGCCACATCCCACCTCTCACTCCCCTGAACTCACAAGGGAAAGTCTCACACGCCATATTTCATAGAGAATGTAATTAACATTGCTTTTTAAAAAATAATTAATAGACTTTGGGTTTTTTAGAGAAGTTTTATATTTATGGAAAAATTGATTGCAATGTACAGAGTTCCAGAATTAATGATTTGAAGATATGTTAACAGAAAACAGGTGATCCCTGATGCACTTACACAAGAATATCTAGGTAAAAGAAACACAGTAATCATGCTGTAACTTCTGTTGAGATCAGGATGTATTAGTCTTAGGAGGCAGCTGCTATATTTCAGGACCATGGTTTTAAGATGAGGAAACCAAAGTTCAGAGAGGCGAGTTCCGTCGTGCACCCCCGACACGGTTTTCCCTATAACTCCGTGTCCCATTAGTGTGGTAACAGTTGCTACAATTGATCAGCTAATATTGATAGCTTCTTACTAACTAAAGTCCGTCGCTTACATGGCAATTCATTCTTGCTGTTGTACATCCTGTCAGTTTTGACAAATGGATAATGGCATGTGTCCATCATTACCGTATTACATAGAACAGTTTCACTGCCCTAAACATTCCCTGCAGTCCACCCCTTTGCAGGATGGGGTCTCTCAAGGGAGGCTGACATCTGACCTGGGCATTGCAGAGTGAATAGGAGTTTTCTTTGCAGACACATGAGGGAAGGACTTGGATTGCCTGCTTTTGCAGAGCAGGAAGTGTGGCTGGACCTCATCACGGTTTTCAGCTGCTCCCAGGAGCATCCTGTCTTTAGCTCAACTCTGAGCAGAGCTGCTGAGGATGAAAGGATTTCAGACCATTGTGGTGGGCTTTGCAGAAAGTGCAGAGATGGGCAAAACAGTGTGTACCCGCCCCTGCACTTCCTGCAAAGGGGTTCCCAAGCCAGAAGGGAAGTCAGCCATGGTCAGGAGTCAGTTAAGGCAAGAAGACAAACAAGAGGCAGGTCGGACGTGGTGGCTCACGCCTCTAATCCCAACATTTTGGGAGGCCAAGGCAAGAGGAGCACTTGAGGTCAGGAGTTCAAGACCAGCCTGAGTAACATAGTGAGACCTCCTTCTCTACAAAACATTTTAAAAAATTCACCAGGCATGGTGGCACATGCTTTTAGTGCCAGCTACTTGGTAGGCTAAGACGGGAGGATGGTTTGAGCCAGGAGCCCGAGACTGCAGTCAGGTGTGATCACATGACTGCACCCCGGCCTGAGACAGAAGGAGACCCTGTCTCAAACAAAAAACAAAAATGAGGCAGCTAGAGAACAAGGAGGATTGAGAAGAAGAGGGATGAAAGGTTGAGGGGATGCATTATTTGAGGCACACTGCTACGTGCTTTCTGGTTTCTGAAGCTGAGAAGGGAGGAAGAGAGGCTGCTCTGTTGCTGGCTTTAGGCTGTAGACAATACCTGTAGGGCTTTTGTGTGGTTAAGAGAGTACCCTTTGATTTTAGACAAGGCAAGGTTTAGGTCTTGATCTTATTACTTACCAAGTACGGGACCTTTAGGAAGTTCCCCTGCCCGGTCAGTCCCACAGACCCTGGCCGACGGATGAAATGTGTACTCAGACACAGGTATGCAGTGTAAGAGCAGCCAGATGACTGTCTGGGTCTAGTGGCCAGATCGCAGCCCGGAGAAGCTGGAGCTGCTTGCTCTTATTCAGTGTAGGCACAGTGCCGAAAACCTGGAGCCCACGCAACCTGTAGGTAATTAACATTTATAATGTTCCCATAACCTCACCCATGCAGATGATCAAAGGTCACTTCCTGGGCACCATGCCTGTTTAAGATAACTTTCCCCACAATCCCTTGTACCTACTCCTGCCCTCTGCCTGAGGGTTGTAGAACAGCTGCCTTCGGCTATTCTCTCCCGAGGCTCTGCAGAACCTCCGCACCTTTCAGAAGGTTTGCATCCTTTCCCTATAGATTTTGCCACCGCTTTGACCCGTCTCCTCCGTTTCCAAAACTCTCTGAGCTTTGGTTTCCTCATCTTAAAGTCATGGTCCTGAAATACGATGCCTGCCTCCTAAGACTGAGGCATCCCCATCTCATCAGAAGTTACGAGCATGGTTACTGTGTTTCTCTTACCTAGATATTCTTGGGTAAGTGAATTAGGGATCACTTATTTTCTGTTAACATACCTCCAAATCATTAATTCTGATTAACAGTAGAGGGAGAAGAAGGGATATTTACTTGGCACCGGCTCCAGCCTCAGCCCTATGTGAGGTGCTTTATTTGGTGAATAACAGGGCTGTCCTGACCCTGGGCTCCTATCAATGTCCTGTCATGAAGGAGAGGGTCACTCCCTCCTCACTTGGGAGCACTTGGATCCCTAAGGACTCTGTGCCTCTGGAAATGAGACAGTGTGTTATGATGCATTTGGGAAGTGTCCATGCAGAAGATGAGGTCATTTTTCCCTGGCAACTAGACCTAAATGATATTGCACTATTTTGAATTTGAAGATACTGTAACATTTCAGCCCACACTGTCCCCATTAATTCAATGTGTTAAGTGTTATTTCATCCTGAAATTAAGTAGGCAGTTCTACTGGGGAGAAATTCTCAGTCTTAGACCTGACAGTTTAGATCTGTTTCTTTCACCAAAGCTTGTGTTATTATTACTCATGAAAGTAATATATGAGTGTTACAGATAATTTAAAAACGTGGGGAAGTCTTAGTACTCTAATAACATAATAACACAACATAATGAGTTAGGATTTATTGATCCAGGCACTTGACATACATTATGTAGTCCTCACATTAAACCTGGGAGGATGAGTATTATTATTCCGATTTTACCCATAGGTAAACTGAGGCAGAGAGAGATTAAGAAATGTGTCCAAAATTACATAGCTCAACTATTTTAACTCTAAAATGCCTGTCCCCAAAGTTTATACTCCTGCATGTAATGTTACCCTAGGGGAGGGCTGAGGGCGGGGGAGACCCCAGAGATAACACTACAACATTGGGGTAGTTCTTTCTAGTCTTATTTCCACACACCTATTTTATATGACATTTGGAATCCTACATTTTATCACTTGGCGTTATCTGATATGCAGGTAGGTGAATGATGTGGGAAATGTCATATGCAGTTCGGGGGCCTGTTCCAGAAAACACTATCAACTCAACAGAAGCAACTTTCAGCTGGAAACAGGACAGCTGGATTTTGCTTTTTTTTAACTTTGAGGTTCAGGGGTACATATGCAGGTTTGTTACATGAGTAAATTGCATGTGCCAGGGTTTGGTATGCAGATGATTTTGTCACCTGGGTAATCAGCATAGTACCCAGTAGGTAGTTTTTAAATCTTCACCCTTTTTCCTCCCTCTACCCTCAAGTAGTCCCCAGTGCCTGTTGTTCCCTTCTTTGTGTCCATGTACACTCAATATTTAGCTCCCCCTTATAAGTGATAACACGCAGTATTTGGTTTTCTCTTCCTGTGTTAGTTTACTTAGGAGAATGACCTCCAGCTCCCTCCATGTTGCTGCAAAGGACATGATTGCATTCTTTTTTCATGGCTGTGTAGTATTCCGTGGGGCATATGTCTAGGGGAAGAGCAGAGTGGGAGCAAGCAGCACCCTTCAGTGGTACTTTCCCTTTGTCCTGCCATATCCTGCCAGGTCCCTGCAGTCCCCAACGGCTGCTGAACTGGATGCTGGCCTTGGCTTGCCAGCGAGGGCACCTGGGAGTTGTGAAGCTCCTGGTCTTGACACATGGGGCCGACCCGGAGAGCTACGCCATCAGGAAGAATGAGTTCCCTGTCATCGTGCGCTTGCCCCTCTATGCGGCCATCAAGTCAGGTGGGTCTCCCTGCTACCCGAGTCAGCTCTGACCGTGCAGACTGTCTCAGCCTCCAGATGTGGGACCGTGTCTTTATTCTCACTCTTAGCTCTCAAATTACCTCTTTTGCAACTCCTGTTCTGTATTTCTTTTTCAAAATATCTGCACCCTTCCTCATTTCCCCCCGACTTGCCCCGCAAGGGGATTTCAGTGACAGAGACTGACTGTGGCTAGTGGCACTGTTGCCTGAGGCACTCCAAAGGGCAAAGCCCCACAGAAATTCTCCCACTAACGGGAACTCGACACATCAAGGGAAGTAAATAGAGAAGTACAACCAGCACAAGTACCTTTTCAGTTTCCATTCCACATATCAGAGGCTGCTCTTCCAACAACTGTGACACTCTCTGCACCTGCATGCCCTTAGCTTTCTGGTTTTGTTCCTTTAGGGAATGAAGACATTGCCATATTCCTGCTTCGGCATGGGGCCTATTTCTGTTCCTACATCTTACTGGACAGTCCTGACCCCAGCAAACATCTGCTGAGAAAGTATTTCATTGAAGCCAGTGCCTTGCCCAGCAGTTATCCGGGAAAAACAGTGAGTAGTCACTGCCTGTGGAGTGCATCTTATTTCCTTTTGTACTGCTGAAACTGAATACCACAGGCTGGGGAATTTATAATAAACAGAAATATATTTGGCTCACAATTCTGGAGATTGAGAAGTCCAAGGGCATAGCACTGGTATCTGGTGAGGCCCTTCATGCAGTCGCATCCCATGGCGGAAGGTGGAGGGCAAGAGACCAACAGACCAAGGGAGGGAAGAACCCACTTTTACAACAACCCACCCTCAAAATTACAAACCCACTCCCACAGTAACAATGTTAATCCATTTAGGAGGGTTGGGGCTTCTTGGCCTAATCACCTCTCAATGGTCCCACCCCTTAATATCATTGCAACAGCAATTACCTTTCATCGTGGGCTTTGAAGGGGACATTCAAACTGTAGCAAGGTGGGATCTGAAATCTGGGCTTCATCCCCTCCCAAAGTTTTTGTTTGTTTGCTTTTTTCAAAAATTGGCTAAATACATCATATTTAACATATTTTCTTTTTAAAATTTTTATGTTTTAAAATTTAAAAATACTAAAATTATATATGATTGTGTAACAAGTGATAACAATTGAAAGCGGTAATAAAAATGATGGCTCTTCTGCCCTTGACGTAAATAATTTAACAACCAAGTAGGAATCTTTTCACATCCTTCCATATGCGATGCTATAAAAACATTTATAAATCTCTACAAGGTTTAGTTTTAATTTCTCATTTTAATAACAAAAATAGTATTGCATGATTTATATTATCCTCAATTTGGCTTTTTAAATTTAGTACTCTGTCATGGACTTCCTCCAGATCAGTTAGTGTGGCTACAACTCATTCTTTCAGGTACATTCTTTAAATACATAGAGTTAATGTGGCTTAGTTGACATAGCTCTCCTTCTATTGGCAAACATTTGAAATATGTTTTTTCCTCTTGCGCTATAGCCTGATTTGCTATGGTATGTTTGCTTATATAGAGCAGAGTCCCAAAAGTGGACTGCTTTGGAAACACTGCCCCCAAAAACTCTGGTGATTCACACTTTCACCAACAAAATATAGAATTCTCTGTCCCACACCTCAGCCAGCAATAGGCATCCTGGAGCCTATTAATTTTTATCAGCGTGATTGGCAAAAAAAAAAAAAAAAAAAAAACTCCTTATTTTAATTTCCATGTTTTTATTAATATTGAATATCTTTTCATATGTTCATGAACCATCTGCATTCCCCTTAAGTGAACTGCCTGTTACTGTTCGTTCTTTATTTTTTCTAAAGGGTCGTTTGTCTTTTTTTCTCACTTTGGAGGGTTTTTTTCCTTTTTCTTGGTATAGTAGAGGTTTTTAAGAATTGGCTTATCATAAATGTCACCAATATTTTTCCCAGTTCATTATTTGTCTTGTCTTTTCTTTTTTTGGTTATCTTTTGTGATAGCAAAGATGAAAGAATACATAATTCAGTATGTTCATCTTTTTCTTTCTGGTATCTGTTTATAAAAGAAGGCCACTTTCACTCTAATTTTATTTCAGTATTCTGGAGTTCCTTGTAATGTTTTCATTCATTTAGTTTTTACATTTTAAGATTTAGCCTTTCTGGTATTTATTTGTGTGTATTGTATGAGGGAAGTGGCAGGGAGTGGAGGTGGCTAGCTTTTGTCTCTTCCAGATACCTAGCCAGTCACTCTAGCACAGTTTTTAAAAAAAGCTTCCTTTTTCATCGGAATTTAAATGTCACCACGGGCATTTTCCCCAGTATCTATATCTGTGTACATTTTGGGATTCTCAGTACTGGTTCACTGGCCTGTTAATCTGTTTCTGGCAAATGCCATATTGTTTTGATTATGGGCACCACATTTAAGTCTTACAATCTGTTAATGCAAGTTTTCTGTTCATTTGGTTTTTGTTTTTTTCAGAGATATCTTGACTGGGCTATTACTCAACATTTGTTCTTCTATTTTGCCCATTTCCCACAGTGACTCTATTTGTGTAGCTTTTATTTTCTGTAATGAAATTTTTTTTCTTTTCCTTCTAAAAGTCCCGGACCTGTCTTGCCTATCTGTGACTTTTTTTTATTGTTTTTGCTACCATTTAAATGAACTATCTATGTATTTATATAACTTCTTTCCACTTCTGTTCCAACCTGAGTTACTAGTATGCAGAAAAGTTGTTTTGTTTTTTCTGTTTTACCCAGTTCTTTTCCCGTCTTCTCTTTTCACTCTAGTAGTTTTTACTGGAATTCCCTGAGACTTTTGGACGTGATCATATTCTACAAATTCAAAACAAGTTGATCTCTTCTAATATTTATATAATTTGTTTTATTATGTATCTTTAGAAATTTCAAAAGTTACATCATCATGATTCTAGCAGTTACATGTATCTTGTTCCTGATTTTGAAGGTCTTGGTGTGACCAATTTATGAGCATTTGCTGTAGACACTTGGCAAATAAGCTCTTGTTATATTTAGGTAATTTCCATGTATTCATTTTTGCTTTGAGTTTTTCTTAGGAAATATTGCCGAACTTTGTCAAATCCCCTTTTGCAGCACTTAGTGTATTCATATAGCCTTTCTACTTTAATGTATTTATTGAATAAATGATTATGAGAGATGTTGACTCAATCTTGAACTTCTGTTATAAGTGCTAATTGTCTCTTTTTTAACTGCTGGATTTGATGTCTTGATATTTTATTTACAGTTTCTGCATCTGTGTTGATAGGTGAATTGATCTATAATTTTCTATTATTAATGTTTTTATGTGGCTTAATATAAGACGATGCTAGCTTTACAAAGTAACTTGGGGAACTTTCCATCTTAATATTATCTGAAGAAGCCTCATAGGAATTATTTATTGTTAAAGATTAGTTAGATAAAGTAGATCTTTATTTTCTGATTCCTTTTGAAGCCGTTTGTCAATTCACATTGTCTGCTTTCCCTTATATGCAAGTCAGGAAATTACGTTTTCATAGAAAATTATCCATTTCCTTTAGGTTTTTGAATTTGCCATCATAATGTTGCATTTTCTTATTCTTTTCTTCTATATCTATACTTAGGTAACTCTCTTCATTTACATTATTGAACAGTTTTATTTTTTCTCTTTCACACTTAATCAAACCAGCCAGAGATTTATGCTAAAATACAAGTCCTGTCAAGGAACTTGATAGATTTTTTTACATTACTTGTTTTGTTTGTTATTTCAAAAATTTTAGCTTCTGTTTGTATTAAAACCTTATTCTCATATATATATATATATTTGAGATGGAGTTTCACTCTTGTTGCGCAGGCTGGAGTGGAATGGTACGATCTTGGCTGTCTGTAACCTCCACCTCCTGGGTCCAAGCGATTCTCCTGCCTCAGCCTCCGGAGTAGAGGGGATTACAGGTGTGCGCCACCATGCCCAGCTAATTTTTGTGTTTTTAGTAGAGATGGGATTTCCCCATGTTGGTCAGGCTGGTCTTGAACTCCTGACCTGAGGCAATCCACCCGCCTCAGCCTCCCAAAGTGCTAGGATTACAGGCATGAGCTACCACACCTGGCCCGGCCCATATGTTCTTTTTTGAGTGTTTTATTCATGGCATTGAGGTTAAAGCAAGGCCTTGGCATGAGACTTTCTGGTTCTCATCTGGATCTAAGCTTCACTGCTGCAGGGCATTCCTCTGTGTCTTGGATCAGTGGGAAAAACAATAAAATACCTGTCTCAGAGGGATGCTTGACAAATAGATGTAATATTTATAACATCCTAATGACAGTGCCTGCCATGTGGCAAGTGCCTCATAGATGCTCCCTGTTTCTTGAGGTGAATATTTATTTCTGCTTTTATTTCTCTAATTTTAGCTTGTTGATGGCAGTATTTGAGCACTTTCTGTGCTGCCTATTTGTGCTGGCTTCCTTTATCAGAGTCTGAAATATAGAGATTTACAGATATATAGAGATGTGCAAGGGTACACATACCCATCGATACAAGTACATATGTTTATTTCCCACTTCTGCTGCTTTTTCATGCCTCATTCTTCTCATCTCTCTGTAAAGTCTTGACATACCTGGTTTCTGGCTTTATAACTCATCAGTACCTATTTTCATTATATCAAATGGCCACCTTAATCCTGTTGATGTCCCTGTCCTTGAAACTGAGTTGGTTTTCTCTTCACGCAGCCACTTTGCCCTCTTTTTCTTTGTGCCCACCTTGGATACATTTCTCCCAGATATTTCTTTTCAGGTTTTTGTTTGTCTCTTTGCCGTAGGCATATTTCTTGTAAACAGCATTTGGTTTTTAATCTCATCTGAGTGTGTATCTTTTGAAAGAGGAGTCCATCTACTTCACATTTGTGTAGAACCTGTCCTATTAGTATATATTTTTCCATCTTTTAGAATTATATTTATTGCTGCTTCCTTTTTACCCTTCCCTTATTCCTGCTGGTTTCCTGGTTTCTAAAGAATACTGATATTCTAGTTTCTGTATATTTCTACTTTTCTGTGCCTTGGTTGGTTTTCTCAGTTATAAAACAGAGATAACAATAATCTCCACCATGGAGGGCAGCTGCACTTAGCACAGGGCCTGGCACATAATAAGTGCTCAATAAATATTAGCTGACATTATTATTAGCCTCCCAGCCCCAAAGAAAATAATGATCATGTAACCACGACATTTATGTAGTGCTGGTTATTTTCCTAAGCACTTTTATTTGGTCCTCATTACACCTCAGTAAGAACTACAGAGAATAGTATCTTTTTTACAGATGAAATTATTAGGTATAAAGACATTATTTGTCCAAGGTCAACAAGTACTAAACAATATTGATGCTCGGACTCTTAAACACAGGGCTTTCCCCAGTTCTCAGTTCCTGAACCCTACCACCTAGGCTTCATGTAGACAGTGATTCTCTGCACATCATGATCCCTGGGAACTTTTTAAAACCCTGATGCTCAGACCACATCCTATACTGATTAAATCCGAATCTCTCGGGTGAGATGAAGAGTTTTAGAAATTCTCCAGGTGATTCCAGTGTGCACCCAAGG